GAAGGTGACTTGTCTGGGGCTTTGGAGCCAGAAGCGGGTTGTGGCACACTGTCCCTGAAGTTGCCCTCATAGTTCTAGAATTTTATGAACTCGAGTTGTAAAGGGTATCTCTATGAAGGAATGATATTCCTACTTTCCTTTTTTTTAAGTTTGCACATGGTGACAACTATAAAGCCTGAGTACTAATTGTCGCTGACCTGCTTATACGTGCACAGTGGATCAAGGAGGTGGTGGAATAATTTAACATTTGTAAACCAACTCTCTCCCATGTTAAAGAATTTCATAGATACCAAGTGTGCCTGGCAGTAGTGTTTCTGTGGTGTAACTTGTTATGGTTGTCACTGTCCTTGTTTCTGTTTAATTCCTACACAGAAGTCTGGGTGCCCTGGTGGCTCATCAGGGCCAGTCAGCTGCCTGCTTCTCACGGTCCTTCTGTACCCAGGGTTCTATTTCCTGTGCAAGTTGCTAACAGGATTTGTTCACGTGGAGGGTCGTTTCCCAGCTCAGACCCCCTGACCCTTCTTTTCTGGGCTGATTATGGGTTTTGAAGTGTGAATCAGCCGTGCCACAGATTCACTGTCTAATGACTTCTGTGCTTTCACAATAAGCATCGGTCAGCACTTCCTGCTTTCATTCATGTTGTGAGTTGAATGGCTGTAACAGAAAGAATAGAGAGTGCCAAGGCAAATAATTGTTGTGGCTTGTGCAAACATTTTATTGCAAGTCTTATTAAATATGCAGCTTTCAGGAGCCTACATCACATGCTTTTCAGGAAAGCTAAATCATAAGGACACGGACTTGCCGCCTGATTCAAGAACAAGTCAGTGTGAAATTCGACATGGCATAATTGGTTAGCCTGTATCTCTTAACATTTATTCAGAGCAGCAAATCTGGTAAGAAGACCGGTCGTTTATTTCACAAGAAGGGCTGAACTTAAAGAGATTTTATGTGTTGGCAAGGGAAACTGGTAGGAAATGGAGCCTGGCAGTGAGAGTGTCCGGTGTCCACCTCCCACGGAGGGTCCTCATCCAGCACCCCGGGTTACTCAGGAATGACCCACAGGACTGCTCCCCGTCTGTGTGCAGTTCATCGCAATCGGCGAGGCCTTGTTAAAGTGGTTCTTTCTTTTATAAGTACAGACTGCACGTCAACCTCCCTTCTCCAGCATGTTGTCTTTGGCGGCCTGATATTTAAAAACAAGATAAAAGTGATTACATGCACTGTTTCAGAGCAGCTTTCCAAGTATGAGGACTTGGCACTTCCTTCTGTTTTCCGCACGTTCTCTGCCCCCGTATTTCCTTTGCATTTGGCATATAGAATCCCTGGACCTTATAACCACATCCTGTTTCCTTCCCTTAACTGAAGTTTTTACCATGACCACTTCTTTGTTGTTTGTTTATCTCTTAAAATAGTAAATGAACCTTAGCTAGCCTGTTTTGACACTTGAGATGCTTACATCATCAGATATGGCATTACATCTTTTATTAACATTATTTGAGTATTGTAATTTAAAAAGAAGAGTACGAGAGGACTAAAAATGTGTTTTTAATTCTATTTAATTTTATTTTGTGTGTCTGTCTCTATTGAATTATTAGCCTTTATTTTATGTTGTCATTGGCTCCCAAGTCCTGCCCGGGACTGGGTTAGGTACTGGAGGGACAGAGGTAAACCAGGGGTGCTTCCTGCCCTTCCGGTCTAAGCGGGATGCTGTGTGCATGGAGAGAGGTGGCCTGGGGACCGAGCCAAGCTGGGGCTGGGAGGGCGGGAAGATGGGCAGGATAGGAGATGTAGGAGAGATGCAGGGGCAGAGGGTAGGAAGGGGAGGAGGAGGACAAGGGACATAAGGGACAGGAAGGGTAGCTAGCTCTGCCTGAGGTATCAGGACTGCTTCCAGGAAATGGGACTCAAACCTGAGGTCTGAACAGTGGGTTAGAAAAGCAGAGGAGAGGAGAACGTTGCCAGTGGGAGAGGAAAGTGGAGGTGATAAGTAGCACAGTGTGTGCGGGTCTTAAAGGACGAACTGGGGGCACAGGGTGTTGTAGGAGACGAAGGTAGAGTTGTGCTCTTGAGGTTTACAGGGTGTGGCTGCGTTTTCTGTAAAGACACTTGGATTTTTCCCTCCAGGCAGTAGGAAGCCTGCGGAGATTGGAGAACACCCTGACCACGTGTGAGGGAGGTCAGGAAGAAATGAATGGGGTTTCTCAAGAGAATTTGAGCCTTCAGCTCTTCAAGGGGATGAAAGGACTACAAATGAAACGTGTTCATATATGTTTGTGACCCAGGGTTTTAGATCTCGCTATTTTACCACTCTTTTTTATGTGGCTTGGAAATATTTGTACCTTCACCCAGTGCCTTGGACATACCTTGCTAGTAACCTCGCTGATGCGGTCCCTGTCCTCTTGGGGCTTACAGTCCAATGAGAGCTGCTCCTGTAAACCCTCATCCCACTGGAAAGGCCCCAGGAAGCTCTCTGAGTAAATGGGGACAACTCTACCTTCAGCTATAGGACAACATTATTAAATAGTTTTTCAAAATACTCCAGCACTGAAAAAAATGCATAAAGCTTTGGCTCCTTGAAGCCTGTTCCTTAGTACCGATCGGAGACCCCCTGGTGGAAATAACAGCTTCCCAGTCCTGACAGATCCTTCTGCTTCTTCCTGACAAGTCGCTTTCTGCTCTTGCTCTAAGCTTTACCTGTGAATCTCTTCTTTCCTCTCGCCCGCTCTGCCCCTTACCACTGCGTTCCCAGCTCCCACTTCCTTGCTTCTGTGCTTCCAAACATCTTGTCTGTCCACAGAGCCTTGGTACTGTCCCCACATCCCAGGCAGACCCCCGCCCTCCTTCTCGGCCCTGCAGTGCTGTCTTGTTGAATAGAGATGGTCTTTCCCCTTCTTCCCAGGACTTCTTGACTGGGCTCTTGGACTGAGAAAAGTGCCTGAACATCGCAGAATTCGACAGATGCTTAAGAATTAAATCTGATTTCTTGCAAGTGGGAGAATTGTACTCTAGGTACTGGTGACACCAGCCGTCTCTGTGAGGGTCCCTGGGCACCAGCAGTCAGCGATGTGGTCCTTGGCTGTTTATCTCATTTCATCTTTGCAGTGAGTCACCAGCGGGGGCCGACTCAGGATCACATCTGCAAAACAACCTACAAGGGCATCTTGTGCAACCCCACCCCCATCCTGCCAAGGTCACCCAGAACCCTCTCCCTGTGCTGGGAGCCCACTCTATGCTGACCTTTGGCAAAGCCACCTGACTGCTTCCTCTTCCAGTGTCCATGGTGGCACGAATGTGAGAAAGTTCACGCGCACTCTTCCAGGGTGCCACTAAAGTACTCAGCGTTACTTCTGTGGGTCTGACCACTGTTAAGAGTCATGAGAACTGTCCCAAGGGGACAACTCTACTGTACCAGTCATGAGAACTGCCACCTAAAAAGAAGCACCTTTTCCTTCTTCATATTGTTCTGCTATAAGTTTCTTCAAGGAAACTGTAACCCGGGATAAAATGGCTTTAAAGCTACATTCATTCCAAACTGAATATGTTTTAAAGAAATATCTTATAATTTGTCAAAAGATATCAGTGGACGTAAGAGTGTTTTATATCCTGGCATCATAAACTCATCCTCAAGAATTTATTCCAGGAATTTACTTTGAAGATTAAAGCTCATATGCGCAGATATTTTCAATTGTGCGTTGTTTATACTGGAAACAACCCAAACATTCAGTAACGGAGGAACGATTTTGTAAATCTTGCTAAAGTAACTTAACGAAATCATAAGCCGCCACTTATAACCATAAACTCTGAAAATTTGTAGTATAACTGACAAAATGATAATTTTAAAGTAATGGAACAAACTACAAAATCCTCTGTTCTATGAAAATTATGTAGACACGTGAAGTACCACAAGGAAACAATAAAGAATCAGATGTATCTAGAGTTTGAAATTATATGTGAAATGCTATTTTTCCTTTAGTTCTTCTTAAAACTTACATTCATAAATGCTAGGGATAAATATCTTCTTCGTTCACATTTTAAATGGTTTGATTAATACTATAATAAATACTTTTACTGCCAATTCCTATCTGTGCCATAAATTAGGCCTTGCTTGGACTGTCAGTATCCTCTTCCATAAATATTTATGTTTCACTACATCAATAATATTCCTTTCCTAGAGTATTGTTTCCCAAATTGTTATGGACATTCGTCTCACCTAGGAGTCTTATTAAAATGCTGGTTGGGACTTAGTTGGTCTCATGGAGACCCCAGATTCTGTGTTCCTGGGAAGCTTCTGCCCCTGGTCCATGGTCACACACTGAGAGGCAAGGCCCTAGTGCTCTCCTTTGGGTGGAGAAGAGGCTCCAGACACACGGGCTAGTACTGTCTGGGGAACCACTGGGTATTCTGTCTGCCTCGTCCACACGTGCCGCAGTAACATTTCAGTGACTGGGGGCGTGGGGTATCTAGAAGTGAGTGTCCTCAGGGATTCTGCATCCAGTCTCATGATCAACAGCCTGCAGCCACACAGCTAACTTGAACTTTTGTTAATCAACAGAAATGACCAGGTGGCCCTGAAATAAATGATTCTGAATCTATTATAAAGAGTTAGAAGGAATCCTACTTGTAATCACACTATCCTTGTCCTTTGGTACAGTTTGAAACCTGATTGCAAAGCTGAAAATCACATCTGTTAGCAAAGGTTTTGTTTTGAGTTACAGTCCTAGAGGAAACATCTTGGCTTTAACGATGCATCCCTTAGGCCTGGCCTTGTGAAGAAGGGTAGAGGGGTCAGGTAATGAAGTAGGGCGCTCTCTGTGGCAGTGGAAAAGTCTCAGTGCCTTTGTACTCCGGAGGTGGACTGGCTGTGTCACCAGAAGTGATGAGGAGCTTAAGCTGTCCCTAAGCTTGACTCATTACTACTAATCTTTACTAATAATTGCTCCAACCTGTGGTGGTTTTGTTTTTAGAAGGCAATAGTGTATTTTGAACTTACTTCCCTACAGTGACCGAAGCTGGTTTTGGGGCCGACATTGGAATGGAGAAATTCTTCAATATCAAGTGCCGAGCTTCCGGCCTGGTGCCGAATGTGGTGGTGCTGGTGGCTACTATCCGAGCTCTGAAGATGCACGGAGGTGGACCGAGTGTAAGTCCCATACTTACTTCTGAGTACCAAAAGAGATTAAAAAAACACTGTAGTATTTAAACCACTCATGCCTAAGAGCTTTGGTTTTCTGGACTGTCTTCTCTCTGGAATGTGTTTTCACAAATCGCCACCTTAGGGCACTTGGAGTGCCTGAGGAAAGCTGACACACCTGGCGTGGGACTTCTAAACCGCCTTCCCAAAGGAGCATCCTGTAGCCTTTTAGTCTTAAGATCCATTCCCGGTACTCAGGCCGACGTTCTGAAACCACACGGTAATGGGAAGAAGGAGGCTGTGGTTCCTGATCAAAGAACTTGAGGATCAGAGCGAGGCCTTCGGTGCTGGAGCTTTTCATTTTTGTGCAGATAGATTTTTTGGTTCACTGATGTTACAGCTCATCAGATTTCACCTGGAACCGTTCTTCTGTTTCTGTTTATTATGACTTCACCTCATGACTCTCACAGTGTTGGGTTGCCTCCGTGGGAGCTCTCCCTGGAAAACAGATTTAATGCAAAAATTTGGAAGACTTAATTCTCACCCATCTTAGTATGTGCAGAGTTTGTAGACAAAAAGTTGCGTGTGGAAGTTTGGTTTGGGTTTTTTGTTTGTTTTTTGTTTTCTTGTTTTAGGTAGGACTTCCCAAGTAGGGAAAAAAAGAAATCTTATATTGATTAATGACATTGAAATAAAGTAAGTTGGAGTTTCTTTATCATTGTAATGTTGATGTGTAAGATAAACTCCCAAACCCAGCTTCTCAACTGGCTCACTATGTGCACAAAAGTCATTTAATCCATGACTGCGCGTAGTGCAGACGGCAGACGGCCGCCTGGAACGTTGCAGGGTCCTCTGCTGGACCATCTTAGCAGGACTTCATCCTGAGAGAGGCAGGCTTTATTTTTATCCCATTTGACAGATGAGGAAGCGGAGGTCTGATGGGTTTAGGGAACGTAGGCAGCAGCACCAGGCCAGCAGACAGCCAGGTGTTAGAGTTAAACCCCTTCTCTGTCCACCATGCAGCACTGACTGTTAGTGGAAGGGGAAGTGGTCTGAATCCTAAACCACCGCTACTGCCGGACCCTCAGGCACTTCATTTCTGCCTAAAACTTTACCATCACGTATATTTATAATCTGTTTCATTTTTTAAAAGTCTCATCAGGAATTTACCAATTTTGTTAGTCTTTTAAGGAACCACCTTTTGGCTTGTAGATCCTTTCTACTTTTTGGCATTTGATTGTATGTTGTTCTTCCTGCTTAAGTTACTACACATTGTTAAAAATATTTTTCTGTCACAGAGGTAATTTCTCTTCGTAGGATTTTGAATATTTTTGAGGCTTTTTGACTGAGGAGAAAGTCATTGTTGTCTCTTGTAAATCAGAATGTTCTCTAGTGTGTTTCACAAAAACCAGCAACGAGCTGCCGGCAGAAGCAGTGGGGAATGGTGGATAGGTGCTCAACGGGGCTTTCAGAACTCCGCCAGATTCACACTCTGCCTCCCCTCTGCCTCTCAGAGAGGCAAATAGGGGCTTTGTTAGAGCGTTCAGAGTGCTCAGTTTCTTCACTTTTTGTTTTTTTTTTTTTTTTTTTTTTTTTGAGACAGGGTCTCGCTCTGCAGTTCAGGCTGGCCTTGAGCTCACTTTGTAGCCCAGGCTGGTCTAGAACTCACGGTGATCCTCCTGCCTCAGCCTCCCCAGTGTTGGGATTACAGGTGGGCACCACCGTACCCGGTCGTCTTCACCTTTAAACCACCATCCCAACCATGTAGGGTATCATGAAACACTAGGCCCCCCCAAAAAAAGTAATGGCCATTACTTTATGATGATTTAGAGTAACGGTGCACTCTGTATAAATCTGATATTAATAAACATTTTTAGTTTCATTTTTTGTTAGAATGGGCAACAGCATGAAGATTGTCAACACGGAGTCAGATTAGAATTACACTCAGAAAGCCTGACTTCGTTGGTCCGGGGAACCCAGGCAGGGGTGTATTTAAAGGCTTCTCACGAGACTTTATGTTTAAACCTGCAGCCAACGCTGCCGGCTGCCTTGTCTAAAGTAGGACCAGCTTCCTCCAAAGTGACCGTGGTTTGTGAACTTTATCTTTTAGAGTAAGAATTTTTATGAGATTATTCTTAATTTTTCCCTCTTTTTATTTCAGGTAACTGCTGGTGTCCCTCTAAAGAAAGAATACACAGAAGAGGTAAGAGGGCCTACTTAGATATTTCTGTGAAGAACCACTCAAATCCAGTTTATCAGTGGGTTCCAGTTGACAATCAGTGAATGTACCGTCCACCAGGGGACTTTAGAAATGCGTTGTTCAGGCCAGGTGTGGTGGCATATGCCAGTAATCTCAGCGCTCGGGGATGTAGAGGCAGAAAGACCTCAAGTTTAAGCCCAGCCTGAGTGAGACTGTAATGTTTCAAAATTAAAAATTATAAAGGCTCTGGGAATGCAGCTTAGCTCAGAGGCCCTGGGTTCAATCCCCTGTGTAACAAAAAAGCGTGTATAACAAAAAAGAAAAGTAAATGGACTTTTCTAAAAATCCAGAAGAAAATAGGTGGGTAAAATTGATAAAAAACCATTCAGTTAACTCTCAGATCTCAAGAGAAGATTGATGTAGGCAAATCGGCTATTCTTTACTCCCAGGACATACATCTGAGCCGTCACAAATGAAGTTCTCCAGGACAGAAATAAATGTGCAGCGTATACCCATATCTTTTGGTATGGAAAAAATTGGCTTTTGGAAGACTAGCAGTTAGTTTCGTGGTGCTCCTATAGACTAATTTTCTGGTAGCAATACCTCTTAGTTCCTACAGGTGGCGCCAGGGATTTAGGCCGGAAGTAGCTGGACAGGGCTCCTTGCCATTCTGGGGCCTGTGATATTTGTCCACCAGCCTGCATTGCAGGCACGTTATTCATGCCCTGTCAGCCAGTCCTCAGCAGATATTGCTGCCTGGCTCGAGACCCAAATATGTCATTGGACCCAGAATAATTCTAGAAATTACTGGGAAAATGCACCTCCACCTTCTGGCAACCATCTTTCTTCTAAGAAGCTTTTAAAAGCTTCTAGGACAATATAGCGAGGGACTTTGTAGGCACAGCCTGCTGGTGTGGCGAGGCCAGTTTAGCTCAGCAGGTGGGGTGGATGGTGCAACACGGTGCTCTGGTTTCCTTACAGAACGTCCAGCTGGTAGCCGATGGCTGCTGCAACCTGCAGAAGCAAATTCAGATCGCGCAGCTCTTCGGGGTGCCGGTGGTGGTGGCGCTGAATGTCTTCAAGTGAGTCAGTCCTACTGCTCGAAGGGTGGTCCCCTCTGAACCACGATTGTGTCTGAGGGTCTTTGGTCTTTGATTCACCTAAAAGTAGACAAATACTCAGCTCTTCCCATTTGTTTGGTCTCCTTTGGTTTCATTTTCACAAATGTGTTCCCAAGTGTTGTTAGCAGAATGAAATTTATATAGGGAATTACCACTTCCTGGGCTTTTCTTTCTAAATTCCACTGAGCGTTTCTGTCTGGAAGACTCTGAATGATCAAAGGGAGATGTTAGGGAATTTTCTTGATAAAAACCTTTAACAACTTAAAATATTTGAGTCGTGTTAGAGGGGATTTTTTCCCCCTATGCTTTTCTGTAAGTCTGATTTATTTAAACACGATGCGACCCCTTTTGATGTGTAAAATACACGCGGTGTTAGGGAGCAAGGTTCTGTGTAAACGGTTAGTCTTTCTGTGAAAACATCCCTAAGTGAACACAGATGCAAAACCACAAACATTTTCATCACCAGGACTGACACCCGTGCCGAGATTGACTTGGTGTGTGAGCTGGCGAAGCGTGCGGGTGCCTTTGACGCTGTCCCCTGCTATCACTGGTCGGTTGGTGGAAAAGGGTCGGTCGAGTTGGCTCGAGCTGTGAGAGAAGCTGCAAATAAAAGAAGCCATTTCCAGTTCCTGTATGATGTCCAGGTGAGGCGTGTCCGCGGCGGCTGTGTGCCTGGTGGCTCTCACTTCATGCATCAGGCCTTGCTAAGAGCCCTGCCCTGAAGGAAGCTGAAGATCAAAGACATTCAGTCCTCTTGTCTGCCGAGGTCCCTGTGCCCCGGAGACCCCAGCCCCAGCCCCAGAGCTCTGCTTCTGAATACCAGGCCCAGGGGAGGGGGCTCCTGGGAGGACAGGGGGCACTGCTGACGCCCGCGGGGACTGACTGCCCAGGAGCTGGCTGGGAGCAGTGTCACAGGGCCTGTGACGTCGGGGAGGAATTTGCCTTGTCCCTTTCTGCTGTGCCGCTTTCCGCCATTGCGGTTTCCTTGAGCTGTGTCTTGTGAATACGTATTTTTTTTCCATTGTGGTAAAATACACATACCATGAAATTTACCATCTTAACCATGTTTAAGTGCACAGCTCCATGGTATTAAGTATGTTCACAGTGAGGTGAAGCCAGTCTCCAGAACTCTTTTCATCTTGCAGACCAGAGGCTGTTGCTATTTAACACTAACTCCCCCTACCCTACCCAAGCCCCGCCGACCACCATTCTACTTTGCCTCTTCGGGTTTGATTTCTTTAGATAAGACCTGTAAGTGGGATCCTATAGTATTCGTTTTTTTGTGAGTAGCTTATTTCACTTAGTGTAATGTCCATGCATGTTTTAGCATGTGTCAAATTTCCTTCCTTTTTAAGGCTGAATATTATTCCCTCATGTATATCAATCACAGTTTGCTAACCCTTTCATCTGCTGATGGATACTTGGTTGTTTCCACCTCATGGCTATTGTAAATAATGCTGGGTCTTCATAGCATCTGTGCAAATATCTCTTCAAGAGAAGAGATATGAAATGAAAACACGAAATATCTTGGTTATATACCCAGAGGTAGGGTTGCTAGATTTTCTGACTTCTGACATCCAGATGATGAACCTTAAGCCAGAAGGTCATTTCCCAGGACTCTCTCTCAAGCAGTTTGTCTGGTGCCCACCTAACATTTCTGTCCTGGATTTTGTGGTCCCCTTCTGGCCAGTGGGTTTGTCCTTGGAGGCATCCATGACACTGGCGTGCTCAGCCTTGAGCTGACAGCTGCTGCTCCTCCTCCTCCTCCTCCTCCTCCTCCTCCTCCTGGTGCCGTGTTGGACACTCACATCTCATAGCTAGACGCTCTGCTCCTTTCCTGACTGACTACATGGACAGCAGAGTGGGCAGGAAGCAGAACGATAAGTGAGAGGGCCGTGAGACTGTACGAGCCCAGCATTCCGTCACCTCACAGGGGTGTTCCCTTTGCACCGTGGGGGCTGCTGGAGTGTGGCTTTTCAGGCCCCCTGCATGGGCACACGGCCAGTGTCCACCCCTTTAGTCCTGACGTGCCTGTGGGACAAGAACTGGCCATACCTCCCTGTCCTCCACACAGCTCCTGAAGCCCCAGAAGATGAAGTGGTGAGCAGCGTCCCACAGCCTGGAGGAGGCAGAGCTGGCAGGACAGCTGGAGGGGGTAAAGGGTCTTCTAGCCCTGCTCTTCAGCACCAGGGACCTTGCTCAGCGTGGGGAGGAGGGCAGTGACTGAGCGGCCCATCTGAGACGCAGGATGCTGGGGATGGGAGCAGCGCAGAATCCCTGCCAAGTGAGGGACTCAGTAATGGTCCGTGGAAGGAAGCACTGCAGGCCTGCCCCGAAAGGGTTGGTGAGGAAGGGTTTGTCGAATGGGCAGAGCGCTTGATGAAGGAAGGGCTTGCTGTGCTGGGTTCGGAGGCGGTCGTGATCCTCACTGGAGGAGGCCTGGGGTCAGCATAAAGAAAAGGCTTCTGACCGGAGGCCGAATGTTCCCTGGCGCCGCGTGTAGAACAGACGTGATGTGCAGTGGCCTGGCAGAGTGCTCAGAGCCCCTGGTGTGGGGCGGTGGGGTGATCCTGGCTCCCTGCACCGTGGTCCTGGCTTGCCACTGAGTCCGCAGTGCTAGCAGAGCCCCCACCATCCCGCACCAGCCACCACTGCCAGTGCCTGGGGCCGGCGCCATGCTCCTGGCCACCACCCACCCGTGGCCAAGGCAGCTTCCTGGTGAGTGACCCGGTACAGTGGCCCTCAGCAGGGTGAACATCCCAGCGAGAAGGTCAGTAACAGAGGAAAGGTTTCTGAGCCGAGCTGTCTCCCACACCCTAGCCCTAAGGAACCCCATTCCTTTCCACTGATCTCATATTTTTTCCTACGTGACCATTTCTGATTATTAATATTTATTGACAAATTATAATTACATATGTAGGGCACAAAGTGATGCTGTGATTGAATATAGTGTAAAGTGATTAAATGAAACTAAGCAGTCTATCACCTCGAACGTTTAACGTTTTGTGGTGATATTTGGGACGTACTCTTAATGATACTGAAATACAGTATTTGGTTATTAGCCGTACTCGGGAGATCCCTCCCCAAAACGCTCCTTCCTGCCATCGGAGGCCTTCATGCCCTCTACCACCTCTGCGTCCCCCTTCTTCCTGAGTGAAAGGAGATGTCCGCTCTCCTGGAAGAGGGAAGATAGTAACGTTGTCGGGGTCCAGGAGGTGCTGGTGGCCTCGGGGCCAGGACTCCCCTTCGCCAGCACCCCTCTCCCATTTCCGAGAACACCGAGTTTGAGCAGCAGAACTGTGCTAGGAGACCAGCACCTCTGCTGTTGCAGCAGCACAGCTCAGGCTGGTCTCGAACTCTCAACGATCCTCCCACCTCAGCCTCCGGAGTGCTGGGATTAAAGGCGTGCACCACCACACCCAGCTTCTGCTCCCATAAACGTCCTGACAGCCAAGTTCCTCGTCTGGCAAGATTTCAGTTACTGTGAGGCCATTCATGAGTCTTCTTGTCTTGAAACCCGAATTCAGGCCTACAGTCCATACTGGAGCTCACCCCACCCTCACCCCAGCCCTGGTTTCTTACCTTACTCAATGCTGACAGAACTTTAAGGGTTTAATTGTGGTTTCCCTGAAGCTCTCTTTTTTCTTTTTTTTTTTTTTTTTTCTACACAAATAACTCTTCTGTGCTGAGCAACTAAGAGATTGTGACAGAGGAAAAAAAAAGTTATAATCTCCTTGCTGCTCTGGCTTTTCTGTGCAAACTAGGTTTCTGTGTACCTTTTACCCTCTCTCTAGACTTTATGTCCCCAGTAATACACAGCCATCCCTCGGCATCGGGATTGGTTCGAGGACTACCACCTCTCATCCTAGAGTCCACAGGGGAAGTCCCCTGTATAAAACAGCAGACTGTCTGCATGTGACCTGTGTACCTTAAGTCCTCTCTAGATCACTTATGATGCTTAGTACAATGTATATGCTGTGTGGATAGGTATTATATTCCATCGCTTCTGGTATAATGACAGAAAGTTTGTACGTGTTCACTATGGTCACGGTACTTTTTCTCAAGTATTTTCAGTCCTTGGTTAGTTGAATGTGCACACGTGGAACTCGCAGATGCAGAAGGCCACCCGTTATCTAGTGCTGAGTTATGGCATCTTACTTCCTGCTCCATCTCCACCCTGGTCTGATGTCACAGGAGGAAGACACCACTGATCATTTAGGGGAATGTGAATGACTGCCAGAGCACAGGGCCTGATTGCTGTTGTGTGCAAAGCAGAAATTGTCCCTGAACCCCATGGAAGGAGGACAGGCAGGAAGAGGAGAGACTGCCGTCAGGATACTGAGAGGCAGAACACAGCAGCTTCACAAAGATGAGCCAGCATTTAAAGCAAGAAGTAGCTGGGTGTGGTGGTGCACGCTTGTAATCCCAACACTTGGGAGGCTGAGGCAGAGGATCTTCCTGAGTTCAAGATCAGCCTGGGCTACAAAGTGAGCTCAAGGTCAGCCTGAACTGCATAGCTAGACCCTTTCTCAAAAAGACCAATAAATAAATAAATACAGCAAGAAGTAAGCTGCCCTGAGGAGCTGTTAACTGTGACCCAGAGAGCTATCACTCTTCACAAAGGTCACTTCTAATTCAAGAGTACACAACTGCCACGTATAGAACTGGACGCAGCAGTTAACTAATACAGAATGGTATATAATCTGAAAATGTGGAGTAAGATGCAGCAGAAATTTATTGTGTGAAAGGTAACGTATTGACACTTCAGATACAGTGTGTCATGCTCTTGCAATCTTGTATGTAGCCCTTTAGAATAATCATTGTCCCCTTTAAGAAACTATTAAAACTCCCCCAGAAATCAGCTTCTTTTTGACGTTTCCTTTTCTAATTTTACAATTATATCTTTGTTGATAATTATATCTTTCCTGTTGATTTAATCCAGTGTCTCCATATCTGCAAGCAGAGTGGTAGATAGTATAGCTGAAAAAAAAACAATGTATTTACACTTTACCAGCCAAGAATCCCATACCGCACATTCTTTTGGGTGTGCCGCACTGAATCTGTCTGGGGTGTGGGTTCCATTCTGATGTACCTGGGAGAGCGCCTGGACTTGCCCCAGAGCAAATGGACAGTTGATGGGAGTAGTACTAGATTATAGTTGAAAGACTAAAGCTTGGAGTCACACAGCATTGAGTTCAAATCTTGACAAGGTTTCTACTCTGGATATAGGTCCAGGCAAGGTGAGTAACCTGTGTGAGGCCCAGTTTCCTTGCCTGCACAGTAGTGTCCCCAGGTGAAATTCCATGTCATGGTAAGCTGGGCACCAGTGCCAGCTCCCTGTCCTTTCCCTTCCTTTACAAAGATAGGAGCCTCCCAAATGTACCTCCCAAAATTCTCTTGCGACACAAGGCAACTTTAGCAAACTCTAGTGATGGTTTCTTTTTTTTTAATTAGGTTAAAACCAGGCATCAGAAGCCAGGGTTCCTAGGCACCATCAAGCTGAACCAAGACACGTAGCATATTTCCTTCTCCAAGAGGATGGGGGCCCATTGGTGATATCAAAAGAAATCAATCCTGTTTGCAAAGTAGGAGGGTGGCACTGAAAAACGGACTGAAAATTCAGAGTCTGAATGTTGTTTGTTCA